TAGAAAATTAAAACTAATTAATGATTCAACTACGGTTTGAGCATGTGATTTAATTTTAATTTTATTTTAAATTTTTTATACAAAGAAGAAAATTATGAGAAAGGTTTTTCATTTGGGTTGGTTTTACTTAAAAAAAGACAATTATAAGTAAGGTTTTTCATTTGAGCCCCTAATTGTATGGTACAAGTGGAAGACTGCACAAAAATGTTCAATGATTTTTTTTAATATTTTCTAAGTACTTTAAATCTTTGAAATTTTTTGCACTCTTCAATTTAATCTAGTTTTTATAGACGTATGGGGATACCTCTCTAATCTGATAAGATTCATTCGTAGACTTTTGATCAAATTAAAGAGGTTATCAAGTTGAGGAGGGACAATGGAAAATGAAACTCTGCTTTGCATTATTGTGTCGCCTTTGTTTCATGCCATCCAGCAACACTCTTGGACGCCGCAGCTCTCCCGCGACCCATCCCCATCATGAACAACAAGCAGAAGCTTCAGCTGTGCCGGCACAGCTTGGAAAATCATGTGTCGTGCGACTCGGTATCGCCATACATCATACATCGTTGACATACTGTACTCACAACTCACACATACATACACAAGTAACGAGAGTGTACACACACAAATGTATCACAACTCGCCCCCCTAGCTGGCGGTCAGGTCCCTCTGATTCCTAGGTATCACTATCTACAACTACATGCTATGCACCTTCGTGGGTGCGCGAACCAGTAGGCTGGGTGCTATGTCGCCCCATCGTTAGTCGCCTACCTGCAATTCATAACATGTGAAGATCAAGTCATCTACCCTGTGAAGTACATCGAGGACAAACTCACCGTCCAGTAGGAACAACATCGATAGGTGGAGTCAAGCACAACATGTGCCATCCTCTAGAACACCTATCACACACCAACATATGGGCCGCCTGATTAGCTGACCCACATAACATGCACCTCCAGCCGACACGTACAATTGCTAAGCTTGGGTTCATAGTACCATCAACGTTTGGAAGGTGGCATGGAGCACAGTTGCACACATGATCCTTTCAAACAACACCGTCACGATCCTCCAACATGAGAATTCCAGAAGGTAACACCTCTCGCACTCGCAAGATAGTGCGTCCTGCCGTCACATCTAACGTAGTCAGTGCAATCTGTTGTAAATAGATGGAGTCTCCCACACGGAACCTACGAATCGATGGTCGATAATCTCCTCCCTGATGGTTGCATACCGCAACATATCCCTATGCTGAGCAATCGCAAGGTTCTCAAATGCTGCAGGCTGTCGTGCGACTCGGTATCGCCATACATCATACATCGCTGACATGCTCTACTCACAACTCACACATACATACACAAGGAACGAGAGTGTACACACAAAGTTATCACAACTAAAAACATAATAACATAATCGTCGAACACAAGGTACAAGATTCGAGCCAAACTCACTACACTCAGGTAGAAAAAGAGTCGAAGCTAATGGGAAGAATTCTGCAACGCTCCTTGACCGTCTGCCGACTCCCAACGTCACCCGACTCAAACTCGAATCCAACGTTTATACACATGACATCTGGTCTGCAGCAAGTGAAGTTGAGAGAAGGGGCGAAGATCACTTTCAATCTTCCAAAGTTGCCGGCAAAGTCCACCATCTCCAATATTCTTGGTATGAAGAGGAATCTGGAGATGTTGAATGCCGCTGAGCTGCAAAACAAGCGGTTAAGAAAAATGAACTATCCACAATTAGATTAAGCGTTGACGAATTGGGTACTGCAATGTCAACACAAGAAGGTGGCACTCACGTATGCCGTCATCATTGAGAAGTCAAAGCGGCTTGCAATTCTATTGAACCTCAAAGCCATTGAATTCTCCAACGGCTGGTTACAGAAATTTCTTTCATGCAATCGGTTTCATTCTAGAAAGATGATGAGTGAGAGCGGTTCCGTCGACATGGAGATTGTGACTGCGAGCTTGGAGGAAATTCAACGAAAGGTAGCATTGTATGCCCATGTTGACGTTTACAACATAAACGAAACCTGACTCTTTTACAAATTTGCGCCTGATCGGACTATTGCGCAATTCCAGCCGGAAGGCCTCAAGAAAAGCATAAAGCGGTTTACCATCACATTTATGACCAACGCTAATGGTTCACACAAGCTTGAGACTTTCTTCATCGACCATGCAAAACAACCGGATCCTTGAAGAAGAAAACCGCTACGCAATTGGGCTTCATGTATTGGCACAACCACAAGGCTTGGATGACCTGGCAGCTTTTCCAAGAATGTCCGGAAAACTTAGATGCGAAGATGAAGAATTGTGGCAGGTCCAATTTGCTGCTTTTGGACAATGCGCTTGGCCATATATCCGTGAAACTTGATAACTTTGAGGTTTTGTTTCTGCCGCCAAACACCACTTCCAAGTTGCACCTATGGACACTAGGATTATCCTAGCATTCAAATGCGATATCGAAGACTTTACATCCAGCATGCAGTTGACATTGAAGAGGCGGGTGACACAAATCAATATAAAGTTGACCAACTGACGGCTATGCAATGGGTAAAAACAGTTTGGAATGAAATCATTACTAGAACAATCCATAATTGTTTTCGCCATACCAAGGTATCATCTTTGTCAATGATATCTCAAATAATCCAGTATCTAAATGCACCACATGAAGCCGCAACTGCGATCGATGTTGCTGTCACTGATCCGGACGCCGACGCAATTGAGCAGGAAATTACCGAAGGCATATATGCCATAGGCATTGCTGCATCATTTGATGTTACAGACTTCATCAATCCTGCAGGCGAGAACGAGAGTTCTCTTGAAGAACTCACCGATGAGGAATTGGTGCAAATGATCACTGATGAATCTCTCGAAGATGAGGAGGAAGATGTGATTGCAAATCCACTTCAGATGTCAACAAATGAAAAGCTACACCATCTCACCGAAGCCATGAAATTGCTTTACCTCAGCAAACCGTCTCACGCCAGCTGCAATGATGTACTTAGCACGCTGCAGTGTGAGTTGCGCGCCACCAAGACATTCTAGTCATCCCAGACCACCCTGGATGTGTTTTTTCAATACTAAAGTTTTACTTGATATTCTCAAAAGTTGTATAAGGTATCAGATATCAAGTTATTTTTATTCACGAAGTCCGTTCCCGGGATTTCTATCATGTTAGGGAGGTTATCAACTTAGAGAGTTTCAATTTAGAGAGGTAGCACTGTAATATATCTGCAGTAGTTTTTACATATAAGTGATTCACTATGTTATTTTTAGATCTGATTTGAGATAAAGTGTAAATGTTGTATAGATAAATCAGAATTTTCATTATATATCTTATGTTCTAAAGGTTTGAGAGTGATGGATTCTGGATATAAGATAAGAAAGTTGAAGGTATATTATACTAAGATTGGACGTTAAACTTTTGTCACTTAGGGTTTTAACTTGAAATAGAAACTAGTCGGCTTTATTTTGTAGAGATGACGTTTTATATCTGGTCTGTTATGCTGAGTTTTCATCTTTTCATTAAACTCTTTTGAAGTACACACTTATTTCCGGAGTAGCACTAATTTGCAATTTATGCTACTCCGTTAAACACATTAGAAATGCTAATCCTTTGTTCATGTATCTACTCTTCAGCTACACATTGCTATGAGAATGAGTGCGCAAGGGACTGTAAAGACTATAACAATCATAACGAGCTAGCAATTTTTGACGACATGATAGTAGTAAAGGTGCGAAACAATATATTTACGTTTCTAGAAATAGATCAGGAAATGGAATGAAGAAATTGGCAGATGCACTCAACTATAAATTCTTAAAGCAGTTCATGAATCAACAATTCTCGCTCTTCTGCAGAAGGGAATAGACTGGAATAACATCTCATGGAGGAAATCGTAAGAAGAAACTCAACTATTAATTTGCAAAGCTGGTCATGAAGCGACGAATTCTCGCTATTCTGCAGAAGGGAATAGATCGAAATAATATTTCATGGAGGAAGAGACAAGAGGCAGAAGAGAAGAGTCAAGCCTTTTATTCAAGACGGGAACTTCCTTGGATCAGACGCAGGGCAGTCCCATATGACCTCGAACTCATTCGAACTTCCTGGCCCGGTGACCCCGAAGTCAACGGACCCAATCTTCTCCTGAGTAAAGTTCAGTTCAGTTCACGCAGGGGCGTGCTCTCCATGCACTGGAACACATGAGAAAGCCTAGCCCCGGGAAAAGCAAGAGAATCGATCCTCGGGCAGGCCGAGCAGACATTAAAGAATCAAGTGAATTTATTTGGCCCAAACGCGAATGTGCTGGTTGAATTCTTTAATGTGTTCCTCTCGACGCTTGGCCCAAACGGAAAACCCGCCCCAGAGACTCACGAGCCGCAAGGCCCTGGACGAACTCGCACCCCTTCTCCCTCCATACACTACAAAATGGCTTCACGAGGCGAGCCCTCGAAGAAGCAAAATCCGTACTTCCCATCCTCATCATGAAGAAAAATTGCCACGTGCGCTTTATAGACTCACGTTCATGGACGGATAACGGGAAAGACCGTCGTATTCGCATCCGGTTCGACAGGCCGACGGCACAAACGGAATGTCTCGGGGGGTTCGTGGGAGTCGATGGCAGGGCCCGGCAGATGCACGACACGTGGACTCTCGAGACCTTTGATGACGGACGGATAACGGAAAAGACCGTCGTATTCGCATCCAGTTCGTCATGTCGACGGCACAAACGGAATGTCTCGGAGGGATCGTGGGAGTCGATGGCAGGGCCCGGCAGATGCGCGACACGTGGACTCTCGAGACCCGGGATGACGGACGTCGGTTTCAGTTTCAACCGTAACGGGAAAGTCGCCGAGCGAGGCGAACGGAAGGCGAGAGCTGGGGCCGAACGGACTCGCGGAGAACACAAGGCGCAGCAGCAGCAGCACACAAGTCCCCCTCCCCGCCCTGCTGCTGCTGCTGATGGTGCAGGTGCCTGCCTGCCTAACCCCCCCGCCCGCCCCCACCTCTCTCGATAGGACCTGCTCCTCGCTCGGTCGCTCGCGCGGTGGCAGTCAGAGCGCGAAGGTCTGACGACTGCGATCGACGAAGAAATAGGCCCTGCGCTGGTCACGACCATTTCTGCACCCACGACGCGAGGGCAGGGAGGGAGGGAGACTGGGATGGAAGCTCATGTGAGGAATGCGGCGTGACGCCTGGACTGCAGTCGAGGAGCGAATCAGGAAGGGGAGGATTGATTGGTTTGATTAAGAAGCGGAGCGACGGTCGAAGGGCGAAGGGGGCGAAGCATGCAATGGGGGAGCGCAGAATTGATGCCAGGGGAACAAGTGCGAATTAGTCGGAGGAGGAGGAGCGAGGTGCGGGGCGGGGCGATGCGATGCGAGCATGGAGAGTCGGGTGATGGTGATGGTGATGGTGATGGTGGGATGGTTCGATGAGGAGGAGATCATGGCCGGTCGAGTGATTGCCGAATGGCGCGCTTGGATTGCTTGTGGGAATTTGTGAAGCGGCCTTGCTTCATCATCAAGGCTTTTTAAAATATTGCGGCTGCTGCTGACCAGCCCGGGGCCGAGGCGGGCCGGGCCGCAACTGGTGCTTCAATCTGTGAGGAGTCGAGTCGAGTCGAGGCGAGGCGGAAGCACTCGATGACTGTGTCGCGAGAGCAGAGAGTCGTGCGCTCGGACAGGCTTCTTCTTCTGCGCAGCAGCTGGAGGAGGAGGACTTAGGTGTTGAAGACCTTCTCGTTCCCGGATTCTCCCCGACCTTGATTGATTGATATCACAGGTTGCTGTCTACAGATCGCAGGGCATCGGCGTTGCTTGCAGTAGGATCATCTGTTACAGCAGGCTTGGACTTGTCGAGGATATTCGAAAGTGGACTTGTTGAGGATATTCGTAAGGGGACTAGACGGATAGACTTAAAGGGACGAGGAGCCGACTCTCCTTCATGTGCTCTCTTCTCGAGGCTTATGCGACGGCTCCTGATCGTCAGTGTCACAGGCTCCCCTCGGATGCTAGATAGGTTCGAATGAGTCATCGCGACTGTTCCATAGCTAGAGGTTCCTGCCCTTGAGGAAAATCTACGTTCTGCAGAGACTGGAGTGATCTCAATCGAAGCTGCTCTCGGGGGAATGGTGTGCTCGGAGCACGGGAGAGATTGATTGAAAGCAGTTTTCGATGGGTAGAGGTAGTGGGAAATTTGCGCTTGGACGGGAGAAATGGATAACGTGCTTTGTGTTTGTAATTCTTGTGGGGGTCGTCCACTGGACTGCCTCCAACTCTCCCTACTTGGCTAGCTCGATCAATATTTTCAAAGGATGGTCTCGGCAAGCGATTCTTGCTTATTCGACGATCAACGAGGCCGAACGCCAAAATCCAGAGAATCAGTGGCTTGATTCTGGAAAAGTTCTGGAGGGATCGGACGAGTCATCGCCACAGCTTGATGTAATGTCCACTTTTGTAGTTGACAGTCGGTGGCTTATTGTGTACCTTATTTTCCACTCGATTGCATTTGTGCCTGGACTGCGGAGATTGTCTCACATGGTCGAAAAGTGTGTTTGAAAACGCCAAAGGCACTCATATGGCACTCATATGGCGTGATTGATTGATTGCAGGGTCGCAAAACAACAAGCCCTCGTGTGGCTATTTGTCTGGTAGGAGGAGCACGCGCATTCGAGCTGACGGGTCTTACAATTAAGAAATATGTTTTGGATGTGTACGATCATCCTGACATTTTTTTGCATGTTCCGTTCGACGAGAACTCTCACAAGCTGACGGTCTTGCAAAATTCGTCCCATCTTGTAATGGCCCGCATTTTTGTTCCACAACATATTCCAGAGAATCGCCTGCAGCAGGAGGTTCTGACGGGTTCCAATTCGCCAAACGGCATTCAGGTAAGCAGACGCAATCTGATCCTGTGGACAGGATTGTGAGGTCATCGTGAGGTGCTAGATGGTTCTTCCATATCTAGATGTCAAGCTTTGAGATAGAAAAAGTCCCACGAAAATGTATCTGTGTTTTCTTTTTTTGAAGGTCGTTCTGATTTTCTTTTCATGCACTCATCATTCACAGTACTTCGAGATTGTTTTGTCAATATTTTGGATCTAATTTTTAAAAATAATAATTTATTTCCTTCTTAAGACATTATTTTGTGTGCATGGAACAGAGTTGCGTCTGTACATTCAGTATGAATCCTGTATTTCACGTCATTTGTCATCTGGGCTCTGAATCAACAAGACTTTCATACTCCTTTCGTAATAGGTGTTAGCTTTTCAATATACAGCTTTCATCAGTCGCTTTTTGAAATGACCACATGACAGGACTTGACACCTTTGGAGACACATGTACGCCTCATGAACATTCCATCCGATCAACATAATGAAACTCCATGTTCTGAACAGTTGCATCTTCATTTTCATGCAGGGACTTCTCCAGTATTTTAGTTTGGTCGAAGGGTGTCTGGACATGATTTCTGAGCACGAGACCAAGCACAAGTTTAAGTATGATTGGATCATACGGACCAGGGTCGATGGATACTGGACTGGACCGTTGCCTCCTGTCACCACTTGGGATCCTAAACATTACCATGTACCTTACGGTTCCTCCTTCGGTGGTCTCAACGATAGGTTCGGTGTCGGTACTCGAAACACCAGCTGGACAGCGTTGTCGAGGTTGAGCCTGATACCGCAACTACATGAAAGAGGATTCAGGAACTTGAACTCTGAAACTTCATTCAGATCACAACTCACAAGCTCAAACGTCACGGTTGAACTTGGTGAATTTCCATTTTGCATTCTAAGTGCTCGAAAGTACGCGTGGCCACCGACCAGGTGGGGTGTTCCAGTGGCATCTATCAAAAGTAAGGGCAACCTCAATGGAGCGAAATGTAGACCATGTCATCCTGCTGCCATCGGAGACCGGGCCATGGATGTCTTGGCTGGAATAGATTCCGGTTGGGGGTGGATAGGCCCTGTTCATCGTGGAGACATCCAATTATGTGATTCAACCCAGGATGACGAAGTTGGCTGGGAAGATGTTTTTGATGAAGTTTCTGGGATGGAGTTGGCTCTGATTCGAAGGAAGATAACGAATAGGACTGTCAAAGAGTGTATCAGAGACGTGAAGGTATTCGCCAAATCGTGGGAGGTCTGGATTGCTCCAAGCGCAGAAATTTTGTGCGCCAGTCATGAGAAGTAGGAACTTGAGTGAGCTCACCGAGATTCTCTTCTCAGTTGTCTTCCAGTCGCTGCACATTCGATCAGCGTGCACTTCTCCCACGAGACGAGGTGGGCTGAAGCAGATCGACTGTCGTCGATCTCCTCCTCGACTTTTTCATCCAAATAAGATCTTGGAGGACTGATCTGACCATCATGACATGATGAAGACGAAAGCCGGAGCGAAGATGCGATCAGAGTCACGTTCTGACTTATGTGATGGGGAGCACAGTATTTGAAGAAGACGAGGTCGCTTCTTGCCTTGAGGGAAGGTTCAAGAGACTCGAGAGTTCCACGGACCCATGCGGGATGACCATATTCCTTCTGGTTGAAGCTCGTAATGAAGTTCCACCTGTAGGCTCCGGGCTCTTCAATGTGGCAGAGAGGATTCTGTGCAGAAGAGGAAAATTGAAGTTATGTCCATGATCGATTCTCACGAAGAGTCTATCGGACACGGATTATTATGAAGATGAGAAGTCCATGCATTAGTGAGATATTTGCCAGGGCTTTATAAGAAGATGACCGCAGCAGCTCGGTTTGTGTAGTTTCTTAGAACCTCCAGGTTGCATGTCCATTGTAGTTACAGTAGTTACTTAGTCGAGTGCCTGTTGCGAGTAGGCTTCTGTAATTTTGAGAGTTTGTCCAAATCGGGCTCGTGAGAAGAATTCTCCGACCCATGTTTAGAACGACTGTGTTCTAATAGGTTGTCGTTGTTGGAGCACAATCTCCAATGTATTGTATAGCTCAATAAGCCCAAAAATTTCTCCCTTCTAGTGGAGGAGATACGAGTTGATATTCCTGCCAACGAAGCTTTCTCGAGTGTGTGACCGGACGAGGTTATTGCGTCATGGGACCTTTTTGTGTGCTAGAATACAAATGCCAACTGATCTCTGTCCAGTCCCGATCTGGGAGCACTATTTATTTATGCTAATTTTAAGGTACCGTACGATTTATATTTCTAAGATCACATGAAGACAAATCTTAAATGTTTATTTGTAGTCATCTAAATAACAGTTATATTTGTTTTCAGTAAGGATGATTACCTTTCATATTTTGAATTTTTATTCTTTTGAAATTCATAGAAACTAATCTTGATTCAGTTTTATTTGAGGTCATTTTTGGTCTAATCTTATATGTAAAGTAGGAAAAATTCAAAATGAAGAATTTGTATATTTGTTGATAAAAAAGTTTGATACACAATGGGAAGATGATGAAATTTATCACCATTTTAACAAACTGTATGGTTGTATTTAGAATCACGAAATACAGAATTTCAAACTGCATGATAATTCCAACATAGAAAATAAATCCCAACCTTCTGTGAAACATGAATGTAAGAGTCAAATTTTTCCTTCGAAATATTTGTTTCAGTAAATATAAATTATCTTCAGGTATGATGTAAAATTAATTATAATATATATTTAGGATTTTTTCAATAAAATTAAAATTTTATTGATTTAGCTTTCAAATTATGTACCAGATATTGATTTTTGTTAATATTAATTATTTTTTGCATTTCAAAAATTATATTTCAAAATAATTAAATTATTGCACATCATGATAAATTTTATCTTGATATTTTTAGAAATAACTACTTCAGTACTTGCAAAATTATTATTTGTTGGCAATAAAAAAAAACATCAGATAAAATTTACAAAAGATTTTAGAAAATGCTCATAATTAGTTTGAAGATATAATATTCTAATGAATTTTACATTTATTATGCTTGCGTGATATATACTTGAACTTATATGTTTATTGATTGAAGTTATATGAGCAGAGAAGAATCAACTTATTTCAACTCATATTTTATCACTATTTATATACAGTTAACATCATGATGAGATAGAGACTTAATACAAACTTTGAACAAATTTCATACCATTCTTTATCTTTCGTACAAATGTTTTAATATTTATATCAATGATAATATAATCACTAAACAAGATATCAGTTGTATATTGATCAGTTGTATATATATCAAATCTTGGATTAATCTATATCTATGCATATCATCTGAGTCGCATCTCCACACAAATCAAACAAACTAGTGGCTGTAGTCCAGGGATTTTTTTTTTTGATTTTCTCAACAATATGAAATTTGAAAATAGCAATTTGAATATGATTTTATTCTAATACCAACATCCAATTTGATCAGATGAGACGATTTGGACAAATAGAAGAGAATATACAAAATGATAATATGAAATATAGGAATCACTTAGCCTTGTTTGGTTTAGCTTCACCTTCATGAAGATATGTGTTCTTATGTGGAAGATATAAAGTTCCATATGCCATGGCTTCTACATCTAGCATTAACATTAAGAATATAGAGCCTTGACAAGCCACCACTGCGTACATGAAATCCTCACTAAGTTGAATATTCATACATTGAAATGAGATATGAAATGTATTGGCAGTTCAAGACTTAGATCACAATATCCATTGTTTATTTTGCTCTGCTTGATTCATGATTTCAAAGACATAAACTCATCATACATTTTCCCATTATCACTGAATAGTTATTCTTATGAACTCTTTAACATGAAGTATAGAAGTTGAAAACACAATATATTTGTGAGCTCTTTATATATATATATATCTATCTATCTATCAAAATCTAACAATTTAATAGGCTTTGTGATCAAACCATTTTATATAATTATGTCTTTGTCACGAATCCAGCCTTTTCCACTAGGGCTTTTTTTGATGCACAATATTTAATAGCATCTGGAGTGAACTTATCAAGAACCTCAAGATTCAACACAAAAGTGTTTTCTATTGGGCAACTCGAACCTGCAAAGGCTTAGAGGACACAAAGGTAGACTCATATGAAGTGATATCCTTAACGATGAGATTATAAAACCATGAACTAGAACTTGATATTTTCTTGTAGATTAATTGACCTTCATCCACATCTCCACTGAAGCCATACATACTTCAATTCTCGAGAATGAGCGCACTAGTGACTCTAATGGCAAACCTTACACCCTCTCATCAATCACAACCACTTCAGTTCAGAGGGAAAACAACAAAGATCAAGATTCACACATTGATCTTGATATTCATCCCGATTACAATTCGTATGGCTTCCTTGTATAGAAAATTCCTCACGGCCTCCTTCAGTTGAACACTAACCATCCTCCACACAACCAGCTTCCTTCCTAACAGTATAACATATACTAACAACAAGATACTTCCTAAAAAAATTATTTTTTTATAATGTGATACCATCAACGCCTAGCCCTTGTTTCCTGTTCAGAATCTTACTAGTTTGGATTGATTGATTTTTTTTTTCATAAAAGAAAGAAAGGAATATTTTTTTCTTAGTTTATAAAATTATATAGAACAATCTACTTAAATTATTTTTCTAGAAACTTGGACACTTTTATCCCCAAGATAAGAAGCAAATCAGTATCAACTCCTTAGTCTCTGCACCCGCCATTTCTCAAAAAACTACAAGATGTCCAGAAGATGCCAACGTGAAAACACATGTCGGGCCAATGAGATCTAGCACAAAAAAAGATCCTATATATTATCTGATGTCGAGGGCCAAATTTTTCCAGAACTCAAATGCAAGCACAAAATGTGCCAAATTCTTATATTTGAGATGATGAACCACCGGGCAAAGAACCCAAGAGAAAGTAGATCTGAAGGGCAGACCTTTGAATCTTCAACAGTTCCAAAATCTGCTCATATATCTTTCTCTTCAACATTTCCCACATTGTCCCCACTCCCACATCAAGTCCAAGCCCTCCATGAAGTGGTCAAAATGTATTCATGAAGAACTCAATGCTCCCCACATGGATGTTCGTTGAACTCCTCGTGTCCAGGAGACCTATTAGTTGCAGATTTTATATTTCAACTTTATATCATTAATAATATAAAATTGAATTCAGACGGTTCGGTCTTCAGGTACGAGGTCAGATTGGTGGCCAGAGGGTCATTGGAGTGAACCTCCGGCCACCAACTTGATTCTGATTTATTGACAGCTTTTCTCGAGTGGTCAAAGTTCTATTGGTAAGAATGATACCAGCAATTGCAACAGCAAATAAATTGCATCTGTGTCCAAACAATTGGGTGTCAGTACAACATTCCGATGTTATGTGCTGAATGAGTAAACAACGAAGCAGTACACGAAGGATTGACCCCCACCAAATAGAGCACAAGAATGTAAATTGCTCATGATCCTCTACGGACTCTAACAAAGTTACAAATAAAGGTATCTAAGAATAGATTGATTGTTTGGTGCGATGGACTTCACCAAGTCGATACATGATGGACATGAGTACTGAATATATAAATGTATAAACATAGCGTTAAACGCTGATGATCATGTACATCCACTAATATAAACTTATGTTATGTTTGCAAAAAATGACGTTGATATAAATAAACTGGAGTAAATTTTTTTACAAGTTTCTTGCAAAAGTGTTAATTCTGCAGCTTGATAAATTTTATCCATATATGGATTTCCTATTCCATAAACAGTCATACCACATCTGATTGAAAATCTTGCTAAAGAGATTTCTACAAGAATATCTCCCATAAAAAAAAACAGATTTTCCACGAGTCAAGTACCTATTAATGAAAAACAAAATATTGATACATTCAGTTCGAGATTTCAGAAGACCTCCATTGGGCATGTTCACCACTTGTCTGATCATTGAGGTAGACAGGGACCACAGCAATGGATGGATCAGAATTGTTCGAATCATGTATGTACTCCAAATACTGTACAAGTTTCTTACTGTGAAGAACACAAATGGATCGTTGTAATTGACAAGGGAAGAAAAACTTTCAGAATGAAAAAGCTACGAAGTGTGCCATTTCTTCGATGCACACATTGGTCCGTGACTAAGCAAATAGTCAGTAAGTCATTCTCTGGATATTGAAATATCTACTCAAGCGCAGCTGTGAGCTGATGATCATCCAAGAGACAAAACTCAGTTGCACTCAGCAAATGTGCTGCTGAAGCAATGTAGCAGAAGTCTCTCGTGATACCTGAGCCTTTGACAAAACAACCAGCCTATCATGCGCATGAATGCCAGCCAGTCTGTCAGAGCATATACGATAACAACCTTTTTTGGTCATGCCACGAGGTCAAGTCTCTCTTTTGACCAGCTCCACACTCGATTCAAAAATAATACGTCCTGTGCAAACTCTAAGAATCCGAAGATAGACATCGTCCCTTCCGTTCCCATCCATGAGTTGAAAGAATTCGTTACACAGCGGTTGGATTCCCGAGGTTCAAACCCAGAAGCTAGACTCTGCTCTCGGTCGGGTCTTGTTCAGTGTAGCACGACACGAGAACTACGTTCATCATGCCGTTAAGCATGACTCCGACGATTAAATCGATCGACAACAATCAATCGTTAAGAATTAGTCCGTTCCAGGTCATGAATTTGAACGCTGTTCCTGAAATTAGACCTGTGAGCTGCCGTTGATTAGCAGGGGAGCCCAGGCAATGAGTGCAGGAGGTTGGGCATCATAGATAATCGTTTTTGAATCTCAATGCTCACTGTATTGCTTCGTGGGCAATGAATGCTTCGAGCCCAATAAATATATTCACTATTTAGTGCTTGACATTTAGTTCCACTTTGATGGCCTTCTTCCCCTTGCGGCAATGTGCTACATTTACATGATTCCGCCTGACGGACCCGACGGTACTTGTGTATACCGCCGTTATTCGTTTCTTGTGATATGTCACATGTAAATTTATGGAAGGATTAAACTTCTTCCAGTACCTAGGTCCCACTTTGCTCGCAGCTAGTTGCCAAGTCTTGAAGAATCATGTGATAGAAACTGGAATCACCTGAGAAAAATTGTGCTTCTTATCTGAAAACTTGGTCAATCTGATCTGAGCAAGAACCAGCCGCATCTCACTGAGGCTCACTGGAGCTTTGTCCCTATTGCTGCAGACAAACTTATAAAGTTGGGGGCACCGATTCTTTGTTGGAAAAAAGGGCGCTATCTATGCTCTCGATCGTCACGCTCTTACTGACCATGCAAACAGAATGAAAACCTGCAGTGAAGCCCACGTAAACCCGCGCTATTTTTTGGCATCTTTGCTGTAAAGAGAGCTTTGAGAGACACAAAATGCAGATGAGATAGAGACGTGTTGTTGCAAGTCAATCTATGAGATCGAAAAGAGGTTTGCGGGCCTTTGCCATGACCGAGATAAGGTTGACATCCAGAATGCAACTTGCTTTTTTAGGTGCTCGTGAATTGCATGCAAACTTCTCTGTCTCTATATCTCTCTCTTTGAAGATCTGACGACATGCATGAGGTTGGATATGGTGAAGGATTTGGCCGAGGCCCAAGAAAGCAGACGGAATAAATGATGCAGTTGGTTCATGCGATGGATTATAGATCAACATGAACGAGAACAAGACGAAGAGGAAAAGCAGACTATCTTTCTACTATGTGTTTATTAATTGTAGAAGGAACACGAACAACTCACTTTTTTCTAGAAATATCAATTTTCTTCTTCTTCTTCTTCTTCTTGTCGGTGGTCACCTAGAGCATCATGATCAACTTAAGGCAATTAAACAGCTGGTTTGTATCCCTACCGTATTTTCAACAACACTCAATTGTCTTTCGGTATACAGAACAGTAAGTAAAGTCGTCGATTTATTTTTTTTCGTAACATCATCTTCTTCTTCTCTCTACCTTTGGTCTACGGTACTACTTGATCGGCGGTACATTCGTACAAGAGGCCATCGTGTGCCTACATTCACCCACCAGCACCACCATGAGTAGATGAACGAGAACAAACACCCCACACGTCAACCTCGCACTTCCTCTGCTGTCTGATTGTCTGTCTGTCTGACTGTCTGTCTGCGTCCGTCTGTCTAGACCATCCATGGCAGGGGTAAGGGACGAGATGGGGACCACAAGGAGCTCTATGTACCGCCGTAATCCTAAGAAGACCTGCTCTGCTCTGATGTGCTTGCTGGCTGACTACTAAATGTAAGCTCGGTCGTGCTCAATCTCTCTTTCTGTCTGTCTCTGTCTCTCGAACTGTGTTAAACTGTGTAAGATCTAGTTCTAATCTAAATGCTGTGTAGTGCCTGAGACAGAGCAATCGGAACCCTAAGCTAAATTCTACGAGCTATTCCACATGATATAATTCCAAGGACTAGAGTAAGGTATGGATGGATGGATGGACGTAGAGTATGTAAGAGTATGTATGTTCATAAAAAGTTCCTCAATGCCCTCTCATTCGTTGTTTGCGTGCGTGCGTGCAGGCAGCAGCGGCAGCAGAATCGGGATCGGGATCGAGATCGGGACCAAGGCCAACGATTTCGTGCGGTGTGTGAGGCTCAGGTATACGAATGCACGTATATACTTATGCACGCACCGCGGGGTATCATTTTTTGTTGTTGTTAAACTCCGTTGCAAATGGAGCTGTCCTTCCGCTTCCGGTGTTTCCACATCGGATCTGCTAGAAACACCAACAACCAACAAACAGACTGAGACCTCTACAACAATTCACCTGTCCCCACTGCAAACGACGGAGCAATTCCAATGGCAAGCAATTCCAATCCCTGATGCAAGCAAGCAATTCCGATTCCCACCTCCCAACCAGCCACCGACCACCCGACCTCCCGAGCGGACGAGGGCTTACCTTGGCAGAATAGTGGCTTTCGTCTCGATCCCAAGGGGCGCTAGTCACCATCTTCCTACTCTGTGATTCAGCACATGAGTTCCCCGAATCAGTGAAACTAGTCACCATCTTCCTATTCTGATTGACCAAAAAAAGGTGACCACGGATTAGTGAAGGATTAGCTCCCCGACGCAATCGGGTTGGCATAAGGTCCATCTGGTATCCGCGGAAAATCTCGTTAGCACAACAACAACAACAACAACAGCAGCCATGAACAAGCATTGCGGACGAAGCGAGCACGAGGCCTACGTCTCGACCACGTCTGGTCGTCGGACATGCTCTGGCGCTGCGCAGAGGAAATTCCGGGCCAAATGCTGTGATTCACGGGAGGATTGCAGAACGATAAGACTCTGGGTGACCTTCGCCCCGAGCAGAACTAAACTCGAGCGTGGACTCGCGCGATTGTGCAGCCGTCTCTCGACGTGGATGGTCAGACAGGAGTGTGCACCATGAGAAAGAGAATCGCAGCAGCTGATGGCACTCTCTAGATTCAAGGACCCACCATTTCAAGAAAAGAGAGGACCATCGAACGAGGCCGAGGACCGAGGAGGAGGAGGGAGATGCAAGTGGAAGGAATTATAAGAAGCGCCAGTCTGGATCATGGCGACGGGCCTGCCGCGAGACGGAGCCGGATCGAACACGGAATTGCTCGATGCCGGGCGGTCGGTGCATCGATCGAAGGCTCGAGGACCCGCTCAATTCGCGGCGCACGACGGATGACAATGCAATTGCGGGGCGAGAGGAGAGAGGAGGAGGAGGAGGGCATCCAAGGCATCCAAGGCATCCAAGGCATCCAAGGCATTCGAGGCATTCAAGGTCGAGGGAGCAATGTCAGCACCTGTACCTGACGAGGAATGGGCAGATTGTCGTTGGTGGCGAAAGGAGCAGTCTGAGAAGATGGGTAGAAGCAAGGTTCAAAGTGGGGACCTCGACTGCTGGGAGCAGGCCGCTGATCCTTCTCCCAGGGCGCCGATCCGACCTTCTCCCTCTCCTGATACGTCGGTAGGTCGTGCATTGTGGCGTAGGGCGCTTCTTTGGACGACATGATCTCCTGCTGCGTTTTGAATTCCTTCTTGCGATCCGTCTTCGACCGCACGGGCCGAACTTGACTCTCCGTAGAGAGGATGAATTGCCAGGGGGGGTTTGGAGTCTCCAGAATTGCGGTTGGGTCGCCCCGGGGCTTCTCGAAGTAGTCCTCTCGGACTACCACCAGCTTCAACGACGGACCTCGAAAAGGCGCGCAGTGCTCAGATTCAAAGCCCCTCCCTCGACCGACCGAGTGAGCGAGTGCGGTCCGATGCGATGCGATGCGATGCCCCAAAAGTGAAGCCCTCGGTACGCCCAGTGATGTCAATGCTTGGCACTCTACGTCGGCAGATCTGCAAAAGACGCACAACTAGATTGACAAAATAGCCAGCGAGCAAGCAAGCAGCAACTCAGGCAAAGCTACGAGGGAGGGAGCTGCTCCGGCAATTCCAATCTCAGGAGGAGAGATCTCAGGTCGGTCTGTCGGTCGGTCAGCGGGCGGGCACTCAGGCAAACACAGCGTATGGAGGTGGGGGCGGGCGAGGGTGGACTGAGTGATTACCAGACGAGACCCGGAGCAGGAGCAGCAGCAGCAGCGACAGCGACAACAGCAGGAGGAGCTACTTTGTGCAGAACATGAAGGCGGGGCCAATGTTGGACGTATTCTGATAACTAAGGGGGTAGAGATAGAGAGATACGTGTGCCTGGCTCTCTCTCACTTGCGCATTGATTGATTGACTGATGCTGTCGTCGTCGTCTCCGGGCTGCAATTGAATGGGGACGAAGTTGCTAAACGAGTGAGTGAGTGAATGAGAGTGGGAGAGAGAGAGACAGAGAGAGAGATGGAGATAGCGAGATAGATAGTTGGAGAGGAAGCGGGGGAGGGGCAGATTGAGAAGGATGGAGGGGGCTAGAGTGAAGACGATTCAGGGAGGGCGGACAAAGTGCTTAGGTCGGGTGGGGGCAGCAGGAGCATGGCCCGGCCCGAGCAAGGGAGCGATGGCCCCGGTCCATCGCTGGAGGGAGGGAGGGAGGGAGGGAGGGAGGAAGGAGGATGGAGCTCCTGTTGCCGGCGCCTTGTCTGCTTGCGAGCGAGCGATGGGGCCGATGGGGGGCCCCGGCTGGGGCCTAGTAGGCCCAAGCGCAGCAAGGGTCGCCGTTACAGCTGTGAGCAGGCAGTTGCACGGGGGACGCCAGCCAGCTTTCCTTGGACAACCGATTCTCGTCTACCCCCTCGCCCCCCTTGCCACCCCCCGCCGCAGTCCCCCTCGCTTCCCCCACTTCAGCCAGCCAGCAGTCGAACTCGGTGAACAACGAACGAACCACATCCAGCCCTCGAGCCAAATCCACTTCGATCTCCCCCCTTGCCCCTGCCCCTGCCCCCAGCCCCAGCCCCACGCCCACTGAACCAGCAGTTGCAACTGATGCTTCGCCGCCCTGCCGCCTACCGCGGTTAAGGGAAACGTTCTTTGGTGCTACTGCGACACGCGATCCGCTAACCCCCGGTTTTCTTGATTGCCACTATGTTGAGCCCCAGCCCCAGCCCCAGCCCCCAGGGGTACTATACACCGTACAGCAGTTGCGGTGGGGGCTTGAGGGTGGGCGGGGGTACTAGTAGAAGAAGAAGAACGGGCTTTAGTCGCAGCCGTGGCTGTTAGAGGGGGCTGTTCGTGGCTGGGGGTTGGGGGGAAACGGAAGTGCTTAACCAGTTTTCTTCCCATGGCACAGTGGACGGGGACTGTGCTGCGCTGTGGCGGGGGGTGGGGGTGGGGCTGGGGCTGGGGCTGGGGGAGAAGAAGACGTGAGGGACGAGGAGGGTGGAGGAGGCAGCTGTGAAAGTCGGGGCGACAAGGAGAGCATCGGCTGGCTGTTTGCGACTGGCCGGGAAGGGCAAGGGGAAGATGAGCTCGAGCCGAGAGAAGGTGCGCGGGTAGATGCAGACATGCATAGACAGTGCTGCGCATCATTGGCTACATTGGCACTGTGCGTCGAGGAATGAAGATACTGTATCGTACTGTGCTGCGTCCCCGTGTCATGCCACATCATGTCACAGCGATACGACCCAATTTCATGGACTCACTGCTGCTGCACACTCAGCTTCTGTGCTTGGATGGATGCTCGACTCTGATGAGTGCGTTTGCCGCCTGATGCGTAAGACAAAGGATTTTCTCCTCCGTGCATGGCCAGCCACATCTTCATTCTTCGGTGCAGGAGCTCCTCGCCATCTCGCGGATGTACTCTGATTCGCACGAGAGTTGGATCTGGTCCGCGATTGGCGTTTTTTTTAATGAGTTTGGCGCTTGTTCGCCTTCGTCGTCATTCGACCAGTAGATGGCAGCACGTCTCGAGCATCTCGCAGCCAGCCTTCACATTTCAGTTCAGATTAGCCGAGAGCAAAGAGTAGCCTCGCAGGCACAGTTTGATGCACAGAGTTTCACATGCCAAATTGCTCAACGATCTCGAAGATGCGGTTTTATGTAATCTTCTTGAGGAATCTGGCCGCATATCGCACAGCTCCCTGCTGCTGCTGCCAGTAAATCTCCGACTCGTGCATGGTAACAATTTGAACAATTCGTTCTCACATTTACGACATCTGCTTTCTGTGAGTCTCGAAACTTTGGTCCATTAATTGGAACCACGACAGAATTTGTCCAACCAACCTTTCCAGGAGTTCAGACTGCGTACTATCGTACTCCTCTGAGCCGAATGAGCTGGGGGTGGCGGTATCAGCATCTACACCAGCTATGGGTCCAGAATCCACGTGCTTTAGAGGTCCGTCCTAAACTCAACGCGTGTCCTCGTAAGGCAGCTCCATCCGAAAGCTGCGAAGGAGAAATGTTTAATGTTTACATGGATTTTGGATTCTCGTTATGTGAATATTCAACAGATAATGCACAGCAAGAGACACCTGAAAAGAGTCATACCTTGTGGATCAGCGGGTGTCTTCTGTGGCATGGAGAGCTGAGCTGAGCTGAGGAGTACCTACATCAGCGATGTCTTATAATGGCAGATGTGTAACCAACGCCATTGCATACAAAATTATTAAATATGCCGATATTCGTAACTCACCCAAATATCTCCATGGTAAACCGATGGCAGATCATTAAAAAAATATAAGCTCAATGGTGCATAATATGCTGCGCTCTTTATCACAATAAAATCGAAACGTCGAACCGCCTCAGGTTTTAACAGATTATAGAATCTTATTACACGCTGGCTTCTAGTGGTACATCCCGCTAAAGGCCTAGGTACTCGACAGTCTTGTGGAGATTTCTAGATTTTTGTGTTCCCAAGAAGCATTGCATACGATTGGAATCACGGAATGAGTATCTTCCAAAAGGAACTAGGTATCTAGTCATATCTGTTTACGCTTCTCATGGACATGGAGTATTTCAGTGATGCATAGACTCAATTATTGGCAAGTTTTCTGCGAGGAAGATGTACGCCTTCGATTTTAATTTACTTGGGACAGTTTATTCTTAGAGGAAAATGCATGTCTGCAGCTCTAAATCATTTCGCTCATGATAAAAGGAATGATGGTAAACGTTTATCCTCTGCTTGTCTAGACCTTTAGTCTTCCCACTGGAGTATGCATTGGAGTGCCAACTCTCTGTTTATGCGCATCAGAGAGGATCTATGGGGAACCAGAATCATGGAAAGGTAAACTGCTAAAACATGAGTGCAGTTACAAGAATGAGGCAATTGGATTCCAAGCAATATCAACAGGGAACATCGCTCGATCTCGTCGTGTATGCACTCAAACTCTCCATCTTCGCAGCGTATTAAGAAGGCTGGAGTTTGCCCATAAGCTGATCGAATTCAGTCAGGCCCAGGTGCTCAGACGAGAGCCACCTTCGATAAAAACTTGATGTGATTATACTCCACAAAACAAGTTGCGGGAGGGATGTGGAAGAGGCTTCAGACGTCCTGCCAGCTCTCACTGAGTCTGAAAACATCGTGGCAGCACAAACGATCAGCCGAGCATTGTTGTCAGAGCATACATTCCTTGATGAATTCTTCCGTAGATCGAGCTTGTCCGATGGTCACCCTTACCTCTATACTAAACTGCATCCCGAAAGCCAAGCACCTTCCAAACTCTCAAACAAGACCCAGGAGCAGATAATAATCAGGGGATGCGCATCCTGTCACTCTGCTTGTCCTTTCACAGTGCAGTTCGCCAGAGGGGAAAAGAATGGTAGGCCGTATGGGCCTTGTATACCGGGGCCTGAGAGGGAGAGATAGTACGCTTTACAAGAGCAGGTACATTCGACGAGGCCCCATGCTCATGCGGAGTGGGCGGACCGAGCTGGACTGGAGGCAGTAGTGGACGGATGCGGATGCGAGAGACGGATCTTCCAGACATAGAGTGACCGAACAGCACAAGAGGGAGTGATGTCGTCTGTGGAATGTCAGTCATGTCGAAACAGTGAGCACCGAGCTGCTGCTGCAGTGCACCGGTCGCAGGTCAGGTGGTGTGGTATGGTGGGGTGGGGGTGGGGGCGAGCGCAACGAACAAACAACTTTAGGAGAAAGAGCCAGATCGAGGAGCAGGAAAAGATAATAATGCACAGGGATGGGAATGGCATTGTGCAAATCGACAAAAGCTGGCTTTTACGAGCTGAATTTAGCCGTCAGTCAGCTGGGGCGGGCACGGCCGGCGAGCCATGGAGTGGTTTTTTGTTCAGCCTGCTACAGGTCGCCATCGGTGACAGGCGCTCAGATCGAATCAGACCCGCCGGACAGCAGCCACAGAGGGGCGAGAGACAGAGGGACAGAGAGACAGAGAGCGAGAGCGCAAGGGGGAGTGAAAGAGCCCAGATCTGCGTCGATCGAAGAGACAGAGAGACGGACAAGTTGACTCTGTTTCGTTGCGCGCAAGCAACGATCTGCTTTTTTTTCCTCTGCATGTTCTGCTGGAAACAGTGGCGATCGGTGGATCGATCGATATTGGTCGTCGAGGTCTCGGTCGTATAGTCCACGATGAGGAGTCGGAAATAGAAATCGATCGCTCGAGGGGCGATCGGATTGGTCGGGAGCGCGAGTCCTGATGGCGAGCGAGAAAGCCTCGGTGCTGCTCCTGAACTTGGCGGCAATGGTGGAGCGAGCTGACGAAGCACTGCTGCCTGCTCTGTACGCCGAAGTCTCGGCCGATCTCGGTGTGGGACTCCCGGCATTGGAGTGGATCACGTTCGTGAGAGCTTTGGTGCAAGTGAGATGGCTCATCTCATTCTCGTGTACTGCACCATGTGTGTACTGCAGTCCTTCTTGCTTGCTCAGTTTTCTCGCTTCTTGCTTCTTGCTCTGCAACACTCTCCATCCACGTCCTCTAATCCATCCCACCGATCTGGATCTCTGTGACCCCCGCTCGGTTTTCCATACCTGTGTTTAGTCATGCCAAGAATGTCGTTCCCTCGTTGACGACGATGGCTGAAGATTGAATCTAGGATTAACCATTGACACTGAGATGATAATAACACAGCGCTTGTTTTTCAGGCATTGGCAGCACCGATGGCAGCCTACTTAGCCTTGCGCCATAACCGAGTGCACATCGTTGCTGCCGGGGCGTTCTGTTGGGCTCTAGCTACGGCTTCAGTGGCAGTTTCGACATCCTTTTGGCAGGTCTCTTTTGCCCTACTGATCACCAAGTTGTGTTTTGCTAGCCGATCTAACACATGTTCATCACAGGTTACCTCGTTCTCTATTGCTCTATTGCTACACTAGTGTCAGCTATACACGTACTCGTATTGATCGGAACAACAATGCTCAGAACTTCGACTCAAAAGGGTTATTTTTCCTCTGAGGAGCTTCGCTGTAGCATAGACCCGTGTTCATCAGACACAACGAGTCAACCTCTGCATTGGTATGAATTCTCTAGGCCTCGAGATTGTGTGACGGAGAAATTTACCGAATTTGCCTGATACCTTGAGTATTACTGCATTTTCTTTCATTGTACCAAGGCCGATTTGACCTAAGTTGTTGATTTGCACACTCCGCAGCTATCCTTTTAAGTTTGGGTAGTGCCAGTCTCTGAATCTAGCTGTGTTGCCTCTGGACACCATAGCCAGTCTTATTTAAAATGCAAAGCTCCTGTTGATTTGGCTCAGCAGTTCTTCTTATGTAGACTACACCTTCATCCTTCTCCATAACTGTGCAATAAGTACTTACACGTCATGGCATGTGAGAAAAGTACCCTGTAGCCAGAAGAGAGCTATTTTTAAGTCACTGGAGCATTTTTCCATTCTTTTCTCTCATTTTTGCTTATTCTTCTTTGGGGTTTTTAAGGCATAACGCTGATGCTTGAAGGCAGCAGTACACGAATTTTCTAAAGACGAGAGAAGATCAGGACGCTAGAAGAGAAGTGGTCTGTGAACTGTCTTGCTTGTAAATGAACGAACGTATTCAAGGCAAGGTCTGTTGCTAATTCTCATGCGCACCGGTCGATTCAACCGTCACTGTAAGACTCAGCCACTACTTTCAGCTGCATAACCAGTTCCTTGTATCCACAGAAAAATTCCCTTTCACAGTCACAGAAGTGCAAAGTTGGTGCCTCATTGCACCATCGAGAGCTTTTAAGATCAGCTCTGCAGTTTATTTTCGCTCCTTGTTAATAAATGCCTCTCTTCAGGTCCCTTTTCGTTCCAGGGCATTCTGACTTCTCTCCTTCAGTCACTCATGAAGCCTCGGCCACCATCATATGATGTGAGTGCAATGTACTTACCAGGAAGTGAAAGAAATAATCACATTTGAGGCAATTCAGAGATAGCAAATCCCGAACAATGGGATTCTTCATTGTTGGTACGTCTGTCAAATCGTCTTTAAAAGACGATGGGATGGGATACGTCGGATAAGCATATTTGTTTCAGCTTACCATTAACTTCATATTTCTATCGAACTGAAGTAATAAATTCGTATTATATGATGGATTTAAATAAGAAGACTTTACTACCTATACTGTCAGCGATTAGATTAGTCGGTTTGTTTCATTAGATATAACCTGGCACAAGAAGTCAGTATGACTACACAAAAACTGAAGATTCATCACTAGGATTCTTTTTGTAAGCTGGCGTCAAGAAACCACCATCTGAATGAAGTTCCATGGTGCGCTATATAATAGCATGTGTTGTATCGATGTAAAAATTCTATTCGAAACATCTAAACGACTTCGTAGGTCGAAGTAGTTTTGGTCTGGCAGAGACCCTCGAAGGTTCAGGAATAAGGAAATTTCATTCGCTTGTTCTTTTGCTTGTGAGATAAGGCAATGGAACGTAGCCTGTTGGAAGTCTTTGAACTGATAGCCTTCACCTCACCAGAGCACCTCTGTTACGGCGACAGAGCTGTATGATCCACAGAAAATATATCTCAAATAGACAAGTAATGTCATCATCAATATATACTCGTACTTTCCACATTTTCCCACTTCTCGATCGTTCTGACCTACCCAAATATCTTATTGTAGGCATGAACCTTGTAAGGTTGATATAAAGGAGGGAGTCTCGAAACACCCCTTTCTTTCATGGGATTTCTTGGTTACATTCTGTACTCTGTAAGTAGCTAAATTCACTGAGTGCTAATAATCGGAGTAATGTTGATTGCTGCCCTAAAAGTTTTCAGGGAATAACCTCTCCAAGGTGGGTCTATCTTTGAGACGCTTTATTGTTTAAGGTTTAGGGTTTATATTGGTCGGGAAGCATCCTGCTTCTACATAGATATAACTAACAATTTCACAATTGTTTTGACAACTGTTGAAAAACCGTTAGGACTTGGATGGAAGATGTCATCTTATATTGCATATGAGTAGGTGAATCGGTCACCATGTGATTTCTTACCTGCACTGTCTTAAAATGAGTACAAAATCTCGAGGCAGGAGTGGTCATGCTTCTGTAATCTCCGTGCATGGTTTAAGTACATATTAGAGAATATTGACTGACACGACAGTCAGGCTCAAGTATATCTGTAAAGTTTAAAGTTGACCTTTTGCCTGCTCCGAGAATAGATCTTCACATCAACAAATTCTGAAGCTTCTCACGTATGCAGACAGTTTCGCTGCACAATATAAATTGCTGAAATTTGTCGATGTTGGATGATTGATTGATTCATACCCAAATAACATAATAACGTGACATATGTTCATGCTCAGTGGTACATGTTCTGGTTAGTCTCTTCTGTTTCTGAATTTGTCGCTCGCTAAGGTTAATCTTGTATATGAGTCACTTTTGATTGGTGACCTCCTACAGGAGGCGAGTTCTCAGTCTCGTTCACTCCCCGCCTGTTCTGTAATATATCTGATGTCTAGGGCGTAAGAAGATACCGTAAGCTTGAATATTACCCAACTTCGTACTGTATAGACTGCCAGTGTTTCGGAATCTTTTCAAGATCTGGATTGCGAGCTGGTGAGCATTGCGCATTGGACATATTACGACTAGTTCAGACTGGAAAGCGTTCTATTTTCATATTTGATCAGTTTTGGAACCTACCGCTGATTCCACACTCCAGACAGATAATTAGCTGGCTTTTCAATCTTTGTGTCACTGATTACAATTGGTGTTGCTTGCAGGCAGCATTAGCAAGAGCTTTGAATGGAGTTGGTCTTGCCATTGTTGCTCCAGCCATCCTGTCCTTGGTGGCGGACTTCACCAGGGATGAGTCACGAGGTGTGGCTTTTGGATGGCTCTATGGAGCTGGACAAATAGGCTCAGTGGCTGCCGGAGCTTTTGTGACACTTATGGGTTCTCATACAGTGATGGGAATTGGAGGATGGAGGGCCGTATTTATATGCATGTCTCTCTCGAGCATCCTGATGGGACTGGCCATTTTTACTCTGGGTCACGATCCTCGAGCAAATCAAGAGTACAGTCAGATTGGGTGAAGATCTGGACTTTTGCAGCCTAAGTGTATCTTTTATTTTTAATAGAAAACTCAAGTAGATGGATAGACGATGTGAATTGCTGCATGAGGCGACAAGCTAATGAAATTTCAGGGATCGCACGCTCGATCTGTGAACTCTACCACTCGTTTGTTTTATTTCATAATGTTGAGTGAAACGCTGTGTGATCGTATGCATGAGAAGAGTCGGGTTTGCTTTGGCTTTTAGAGAACTAAAATCCTCACAACTCTGTCATGTCCAGAGAGAATTATCATGCGAAATCTGTCGAAAGCCAAGGAGCAGCGGCGAATGTTGAAGAGTTCATACAAGGGTCCAAGCTCGTGCTGAAAGTGAAGACGTTCCAGATTCTTGTGGTCCAGGGAGTTTTGGGCAGACTGCCTTGGCACGCAGTAGTGTTTCTGGCTCCATGGATGAGACTCATCGGATTTAGTCACAGTGCCGCCTCTCATGTGGTTTCATTGTTGTTCATTGGCAGTGCTTGTGGTTCAGTAGTTGGTGGATGGGTTGGAGACAGGGCAGCCAGATGGTCTCCTAACAAAGGACGCATCATCTGCTCACAGTTCAGTGCAGGAATGGGCATCCCACTGTCAGCTGTTCTTCTGATAAGATTTCCTACGGATACTGGGTCTCTCTGGACGTATGGATCTATGATTTTCACTCTTGGATTCCTCATATCATGGATATTACCAGCTACGAGCTGGCCCATATTCTCAGAGGTTGTCCCAGAGGAGCTTCGCACGACTATATTTGCGATAGACTTGGCAATTGAGAAATTCTTCTCTGCTTTCTCTGCTCCTCTCGTGGCATTTGTAGCTAAAAGGTTATTTGGCCACAGAAACATGAAAGCCACAGTTGAGGACGATGAGTTCAATTCCAGCGCTCTTGGTAAAGCCTTCTTTGCTTGCATATCCGTTCCATGTGTCTGTGTCATTCTGATCATGTTCCTTGTCTATGTCACGTATCCCAAAGATAGAGAACAAGCTAAGAACGTCAAGGCTTTGGCAGATGAAATCAGGGCCTTGGAAATGGGTGAAAACTGGGAGAATGAGGAGGACAGGGTGTGGGATGATGGTTGGGAGGATGTGGACGAAGATGACGATGACCTAGACTTGACTTTACTTCTGGAAAGGGAGAGACTACGTGATCAAGGGATCACCTAAAAATGTACTTGCAACGCAGATGTATAAAGGCTCACCAGATTGTACAGCGGCTCCATTTGGGAAAGACATCTGTCTGGATAAGCACAAACCGAGTAATTTCGCTTAGCTTCTTACCGAACAGTAGTAAGCCAGTAATTTTGATTCCAGTTCTTCAGCTGGCCTACTGCTGCACACGTCCCATATGGTGCTAGAGTATTGCTCCTTTGAGCCGCACCAGGACTCACATTAAGATTCTGAAAGTAGCACTGTAAATAATTGCTCCATAGGATGGATAAAGTTCACTTCGGACTTTGTGATGAGTTGTGTAACGACGCGACTATATTCTTTTGAAGAACGTCCGAGACTCCAAAGGTGAGTCCGGGGACACTTCAGATGGTTCTTTTCATCTGTCCTGTGAGATTCCCTCTTCACTCCTCTGGGCTGACTGTTGCTTTTTGACTGTGATCCGTTGACTTGGATGCTTCCTGAAATCATGATCAGCTACCACGAAGTGCCCCCGGTGCTAATCACTGGCGAGGATCAGGAAGGCGTTTTGAACTGAACTACTGGCTCGAAACTGTCCTCAAGTGGCCGTCCTGTTCTTCTTCAAGGCCATCACTAGAGAATTTTTGGGACGAAGCAGGAACTTGGGACGCATTAGCCACACAGAAACTCGGATGACGTTTCAGCTTTTGTGCTGGGTGACGATCAATTGTACAACGAGTCCGCAGCAAATCTCCATAAGACAGACTCGGTGGCTTACGCCAAGAGCGTGAGACACCCTACCTCGTCGTCTTTATCCCTTTTGCACACACGGAAAGCGAGGCAGAGACTCCGGAGTCGCCGCAGTCAATCCCTATCCTTTCCCAACTGGGATCTGCCCAGCTTCACAAACACCACCACAAGGGTCGTGGACCGTGAGCAGAATGATCACTTCTTTTGAGGCCTCCGAGTCTTCAGATTCATGGATCTTCTATCTTCTCGAAGTCGCCTCAAAGACCCGAGGGCCAGCTCCTCCTCATAGACATAATAAGCCGGCTAAAGCTCGGCACCGAAAGGTGTGTGCAATCCAAACGGTGGTCAAAGTTACCCCAGTCGCTGCACTTCCAAGTCCTGGTTCCTAATTCCTGGTGCCTTCCTAGGCGTATGCATGCGAGCGTGCATACGTCTTCGAGCTCGAAACGTACTAGTAGAGCTACACTGGAACTGGAACGTGCTCGTCCGATCCACAACAGTTCAGTTCAGGAGTCGTGGGCTCGTGCAGTCAGATTCTGCTTTCTACTGTCGGCTCCAGAGTCCTGCAGGTCTTCTGCCAGGAGACTCAGGGGACTAAGCTTCCAATTCTGCACTGTAACCACTTCTGACCCCGCATCTTTGCCTTCAGTGAGAACCTCTGATATAGCATCAGAGGACACCTCGTTCGGGCGATGTCAGCAAAAGTTACTTCGGACACGCGGATCAGAGCTCCAGAGATCCAGAGATTGCACAGGATCGCCATGCTGTTCTCGCTAAGAGACTGCTCTGCTGCTCGACTGTAACTGCAACTGTAACTGCCCAGTTGCTGACGACGGTGGAGCATCGGTCTGAACTCGGATGCAAGACGTACCCAGAGCTGATCTGATCTACTCTAATCCGGCTGCTGCTTGGTCCAGCGATCCCTGTTTCCTGCTTCGTCAACAGCGCTTGCTTGCTTGCTTGCTTGCTTGCGCATGGTCGTCAGTGAGAAGACAGCATTGCTGCCCATGATGTGGAGAATCTTGACTCCGGGGAATTATTCGTCGATGACTCAAAGTCCTTACCTTCGTGGAGTTGAGAGTTTTCGTGGAAGTCTTGCACGCCCTGTTGCCACATGCTGATTGGATAAGAAGAACGAGGTCAAACTCCACGCTTTGCTCATGTCAAGCTCAAGTTCGGGACCCGACTTCGGTTCTCAAGTCGACCATTCTCAAGTGTCATTCCTCGGAAAATCCGAAAGGGACAAGGCGTCGGGAGCTCGAAATTCGGAAGCAAAATTAGACAAGTTCTCGAATGAATGAACGAATGGTTATGTTTCGAATCACTGTTTACTCTCGTGTCCGCCAACACACTCAGATGCACAGTGAGTGTCAACGGAGTGTTGCATCATCTGCACTTCAAGCAACCTCGAGGACCAGTCCCGTCCAATTCCGAGTCACCGTACGTCCGATCGACTGGCCTGGCAGTGGTCCCGGAGAATCGAAATCTCAGAGAAAAGAAGAATGCGAAAGTGGCCTTTGGGGGCATGGAGCATCTTCTTTTGGACGACAGTTCCGAGTCCAGAATTCAATCAAATCCAGAGTGTCGGATCGGTGTCGAATTCGACGTCCGTCGATAGCAATGTCCCATTTGGCCTTCTCCTCGTCTTTGCTGTGTGCCAAAGTGCCTTTGCTCTTCTTTCTTTGCCATGGCTTTGTTCACTTTTGGAATAAAGTATTTTTCATCTTTCCATTTGTTTGGGAAACTTCTTCGTTCCCCACCACTCTCGTTGTCGAAATTCCCTGGCCCCAAAAGCGCTTTTGATTTTTCCCCAGTTCTGAAAATTCGAGCTCACAACTCAATAACAACTTGATTCCCTTTGTTCCAGCGAGACCAAGAGAATGTGTGTTTTTGTTTGGTAAGAATGTTTTGCTTTGATGTTGTGAACTATGTTCCAACAGTTGACATGAGGTTCAACTCAAGTTTGTTATTATGAAGGTGGGTGAGGCTGACGGCTACCAGACCTTGCTTGATAGATTGCTATAAAAAAAATATAAAGGAAGGAACATTTAGTTTTTATTATTGCTTTGTCCTTTTACTCAGAATTATTTCTGAAATTTATAAATAAAAGGTAAATGGTAATACATCAGTTTGAAATTTTATCACTTGTGTAGGGTAATACCCATGTTGATGTATATTAATATAATTTTAACATCTATAAAGTATGATCAACTTTATCCTAGTCATGTTTCATTCAGTTTTATGATTTAATTCCAGAAAATGTAGTATGACATCTAAAGCTAATAAGTGAAATCAACTATTATCACTTACAATGAATAGGATGACTATCTTTGATTTGGACTAGTGCTCAATTGATTTGATAAATGACTGGATTGACTTTGTAGACTAAAGTCAAGCTGAACATCTAAAATATTCAGTTTTAACTTAATGTTGATGTATATCATACAAGATTGGTGATACGTAATCCATTCATGACCGTCAATTTTGGTTTTAATGGTTTGATCCTTTGTTAAGTAAAGAAGTCAAGTAAGGTAAAAAGTGTTGGGAAATCCGTCGTATTAATGAAATGTTAATACATTAAGGATCTACTGTTGGAGAAAACTTGTGAGAAAATTAACATGAGAATATGGAATTGTGATTTGAGAGTTTGTATAATAGAGTGCAGTGGAAGATACGTAGTCCATTCATGACCGTCAATTTTAGTTTTAATGGTTAATATCCTTGTTAAATAAAGAAGTCAAATCAGGTAAAAAGTGTTTGGAAAGCCGTCGTATTAATGAGATGTTAATTGTTTAAGGATTTCTACTGTTGGAGAACACTTGTGAGAAAATTAGCATGAGAATATGGATTTGTGATTTGAGAGTTTGTACAATAGAGTGCAGTGGAGCTATCAACTTGAATACGTCAGTATGAAGTCAGTTTGGGTGTTAATTAGCATACAAAGTCACAAACCCAGCTAGCTGTTTCAGTTTGAGTGAAGATGCCTATGGGATATTTATTCTCTCTTGTCAGTATGTTTTACGAGCACACGAGACGTTGTACTCGGGAGAGCGGAATGAAGATATCAACGGGATTTTTCTGAGAAAACTTCCAGAAACCAAGATCTAAACAATTTGGTAAAAACGTAAAAATAACATAAATATTAATGAAAAATTATAATAATAATTTAAACTGAAATAATAAACAAATGATTCTATGAAGTAGTCATATTACCAAGATTGCAGAACAGAATCATAATGCTGGAAAAATTAGCGCATAAAAACCCTCTTAGCTTTAGTTTCAAATATGTGAAGAAACCATTCTGCAAACGTAGCAAACTCCTGGCCTCATCATTTGCGGTATAATCCTTCATAATAATGTCCTCATGGAATACTCTGATTTAACTCTGCTAGGCAAATGTGATACCGAGCTACACGGAATAATTTACTCGCAATGAAGTTTGGTAAAGGTGTGAGTACCCTGCTTCGAATTTGAAACTTTCACGTCGAAGGTTCGGTCATGGAAGTCGAGGGATCGTTGAGGAGGGCTCTAAATTTAACACGCACAAGTCGCCATGGAGCACACAACTCCCATGCCAGCCAGAGGCACGAGTCTGCGCCAATCCTTGGAATGCTTGGATGCATTCATACTACGCTAAGCACGTCTAAGCCTTGAGTATATCTCAGGACGCTATGCTACATCACTCTCCTTATCCATCTCTGTATCTACACTACGAAGCTTCATAGCATCACTGTTGCTTTAATGTCTATGTTCATTCTATGGGACAGCTTTTGAAGATCTACGGTAGATTGTAGAGTATAGAGTATGGAGTATAGAGTATTTTATCCACTTTGGCTTGATCATTTTATTGGATGCAAGGTATGTCAAAAAGGTCTACATACCTCTCCTGTCCTCAACGGGTTGTTATACATGAATCTGAGATAGAAATTTCAGAATGAAGATTTATACTACGAAAATGACACTGACCATTTTCGATACAGTGGATTGAAAAATCATTCGAGGTAAGAAATTTTGCACTCCTTTCCTTCGGCCAACATCTGATGTACCTTGCACCACAAAATAACAATGATAATAATGCTCGTCATGGCCCCAGAGCAGAGGATGTACAAGAGCGTTATGCTTACATCATCCTCAGATGTTGTAGAATACAAAACAAGCACGTGCCGACTGCTGCAAGAATGACCCCGTTCTGCGCATGTTTCACTGAATGAGTCATCATTCGTCGGGAGTCAACTAACATTGACAAATTTGTGCACCAAAACGAAAAACTTTGCAATTTTCCACATGGATTACGGAATGAAATATATATGGTCATATCAAGTACGTACGGTATGAGATCATGTGGTCAACGAGAACACACTTTGTCTTGCAGGTTCAACCATCACACGTAAACACCAAGAAACGATAAGACGACTCCTAGGCATGGAAACTAGGATACCTGCCCTGCTGAGATTTGCGAACACTAACGTACATGAAGTTGGAAATACAATGGCGTTTGCTATGCTGCACCAGACAGGGTATTCTTCACGCATTACAAGGACAAAGACTAAGTGGCATGTGAAAATCAATCGTGGAATATTCAGTCCTATACTGAGTGGCCCAACAGAAAGAGAAAAGACATGATAATAAAAAACGAAGAAAGTAAACCAAAAACCGTACCTTTCGATTGTCTGAGATGTGATTCTTAGGCCATGTAAGAGTATAATTTTAAAGCTGCACAATCTGATGCCTGGAGGAGCGTTCTGCAGGAAGGGACACAGCTATTAACCATCTCCAGATCCATATCAACTTGAGGTATGCCAAATTTGCTGGTATATACATATAGCCAAAGTTTATATTCTACAGCCAAAGGTTTCCCATCAATTTGGGTATATGTGTGAATTTTATGGTATTAAGTCTCAATTTTTGGAGGTCCGTTGGCAGTACATAAGCAGGACAGAGCTTTAATGTCAGACTTTGGTGAGCTCCAAACGATAAGATGAGATTTCAGTACTTTGAAGAATGACACTTAATGTCACTTTTTCGGCAAGTTATTGAAACCTATTGTCGTGGTGCAACACGACATTGATAGCAGCTCAAATGTGAGCCCTGCTAAGAAGTGGCCAATTTCAGGACATTGAAAGCATCTTAAATGTGAGCCCTGCTTAGAAGTAGGGGACCTTCATGTCATGTTGTTCGGCAACACCATTGATGCTCGATGTCGTGGAGCAAAGATTAAGCAGTTCGATTTTCTCCCATGATCACCCCTCTTCCCTCGAATGATTACGATCGTGCTCGAGTGGATCAATGGATCGTGCTTCAAGGAAAATCCTGCCTCCACTCAGCTCTCTTATGTGCCGAACTTATGATAGGAAGTGTCATTCATTGTCGTCTCCATTGCGAGCATATTTCTCGTATCCTCCTTGATCATCTTCATATCCTTTTGCACAAGACCACCCAGCAGCAGCACAGTGGATGTTTTTTTTGTCCCGAAGTCCATCTCAAATGCTCTGCAGCTCTGCTCGCTTCCTCAACAGCAAGATTCCTCGTGAGATCCTGGGAGAGCTCCTTTTTGCGACTCCCAATGAACTTTATTCAGCACAAACTGCTCATTGGACTTCAGACTGCTGTGAGCTAAATCTCGTACTATAGCACTGTGCGCCGTTTTGAGAACATGGGTGAGGCTAAGACACCAGAATGGACGAGATGGAAGCGAGAAAACAACACGACGATCGCGTGAAATAATTGTGTGACTGTTAGTCATCACCAGGTAAAGAGTGTGAACTGCCTGCCTGATGATGACGATGCGGGAAGAAAGAAAAAAAAAAAGTTCGCAAGAGCCAAAAAAGAAAAAGCTTGGAACTTTGCAGAAGAGAATAATGTGGGATGATAGAATATTGCACTCATTACGGCTTTGGTGTGGCTTGCAAGGAGGAAAATAACAAAAGCAAAACAATTTTCCTCTGTCTGAAAACCCACACATGGAATGTATGGATGACAGATTCTTGCGAATCGGTCGTGAGACTACGAGGGAGTGAGTTGAGTATAATCCAATCTGCAAATCGAAGGCAAGCCCCTCTCTGCACGGGAGGGAGATCACGGCAGCTCGTTCGTTTGGTACTCATGAGACTCTTCATCGAGTACAGGGCCAGTCCGATCGTAGTCCAGATGCCCTAGTACAGTCCACCGGAACTCCATTGCTTGACGATAATCGAACAGCAGCAGGGCAACAGAATCAGACGTTTCGGAGCTCGAAGGAGGCCTCGACGTTGTCCTGTCCGAATGGAGAATTCGTTTCGAAGCAAACAGGAGATGAATTATTTGAGTGGAAAAAGCTGCCATAGATGCTCCTGGAAGAAGACCCATGGATCGATCGATCTGTGAACGATGGGCGACATCTCCGACCGTACCTGACCAGTCTCCACATCGGCCACACGATATTCCCACAAAAGAAGAAGAAGAAGAAGAAGAAGCGCATGGATTCGTGACGTCGCTCGATCGCTCGCCAGCATGGGAAGCCCTGGCTGCGCGAGTCGTGACGTCGCTCCAGCACGGGCGGGGCACGGGCATGGAACGTTCCTGGCCCGCCGAGACAAGAGACAAGACGCAGCTGCTGCTGCTTTCGCGTTGACGGGGCGACATAGCCAGAAGTAATGTCCGGGGCTGGCAGCCCTCGCAGGTGTCGCCAGGCCGAGCCCCCGCCATCGCCGAGCTCTCGTGGACACAGCGCACAACAGAATCTTGCGCGAATCATTTGGAGCCCCCGCTTTTTGTTAAGTCAGCAGCACATTGAAGGGGCCAATTCCTGCTGCAAGCCCCGGACTCGCACACAACTGTCCTTACACCCATTTCCTTGTCGCTTCCTAGCCCCCGTACTCCGCTTGCGTCACTCGGGGGCTCGGTCCACCTTTTGGCTTTTGATCCAGCGAGCTTCTTCTTCGTCTCGTACACGCCGGACACTAAATAACCCCCGCGCGGATTTTGAATCCGGGGGGGTGCTTGGGCTTGGGCTTGGGCTTGGGCTTGCGGGCTGGGGGGGGAGGGAGGGATATGTCAATGATTTGCCACCCGAACCGGACCGGACGAGCGAAGTGGGCACAAAGGCCCCGGGCTTTGAGTCCAGGGCCACCGAGTGGAACTCGTGAGATCGGCTCGTTAGGTCAAAGAGCGGCACGCTTGTGATAGGCCCGCCACTGAACGACTTGCGCACAGTTCAGCACGCCTCGAGAATCTTGGAGTTGTTGGGCTCGATCGAACTCCGCTTGCCTCCTTTCGGCTAGCCCCCGAGGGCCGGAGAGGCTCCCAGAATTCTTTTAATTTCTCCGGAAAGTCGAATAATATTTTATTTATTGCTCGATGAAACGAGCAAGCTCGTGAACCCGGCACGGGTGCAAATTGTCTCGCCCGCGTGGGGATATGCCCCACGCCCAGTCCCAGTCCCCCAGCCAAACCCCGGCCAAACCCAACCCCTGGTTAGGTCATGCCCCTCGCTCATATCAATAACCACTATAGCGGCAGGTTTCTCAAGAGGGCTAAACCCCAGGACTGCTAAACCCCGCAGGTCAGCCCGCGTAGTGTATTAAGATTTTGTGCTGGCGGCGTGAGTCTTCCCAGCCGTTTTTTTATTCTCTTGGCCCGCTATCCCTTTAGTATATACCCTTTAATTCTTCTGGCGGATAAACCTAGCCGCATTCCTTTACGTCTAAATAACTGTACTGCAGTCCACACACGCAAAGATGCCCGTTCGTTTAGCTGTCCGTCCTCACGCAACAGAATTACGCGTCTTCTAATTGGAACTTATTTCTGGCTGTTGCTGCTTTCAAACACAATGGATCATATTAGTTCATCTCATTTATTCTTTTTCAGATATGATACAGTTGACATTTTTATGTTAAATTTGAGTTTAATCCTATTTCATCTTTCATAAGACTAGAAATATTGTATCAGATTAAGGTATTATAAGTTTTTTCTTCCATTAAAAAAAATTAGAAAAATTTAGACATATTTTTGGATGCTCCTTGATAGATTATCAATCTGAACGCTATGATAACATACTATTTTGTTATTCTAACATAAGTTTTTGAATTATTTAACGCTATGAAGATAAACTTGTGATGATTTTTATTGTTATATATCATAAATTTATCTTATGCTATAAAGATACAAATAATCACTAAATTAATGATTTGAAATTTAACTTACTATATCTGCTTTTTATTATTTTTATTTTTATTTTTTGATGTGATTTGAGATTTAATACTGAAATCTTATGAACAAGGTGTAGATGCTAATGATTTTTTCTTATCAAATGTTTTTAGTTATGTCATATATTTAGAATATTTTAATTAAAATTTAAATTACAATATCTTTATATTGATGAATGCATGATAATTTAGAAAAAAATAATTATTAAAAATAATTATTTATTGAAAAATAAGCTTATTAATGAGCGCATTTGTTACAAATATTAATAGCTAGATGGTAATTTGCTGTATTTTTCTTATCAAACATTCTATGCATAAGATTTTCACCAGAATTTTATAAGATTGAAACATCTCAATGTTACAATTTAAAACTTGGAGTGAATCTAGATAGAATGATTATAACTTATGTTAACTAAAATTTATAATACATAGTCATTTTAGCAATTATTTTATGTTTAAATATGTACAATTCATTTTTGTAAATATTTTCAATGTAATTTTCTTCATTTATATAGAATACACACTACATCACACATCTATCAATAATATAAAATGGATTTTATTTTTTGAAAAAGTCTCTTGTTTTTTTATTTTTTGTTACGTTGAATATCAAATTTTGATAATAGTAATTCTCCAAAGATCTCTAAACAATATTTTATTTATGAAAAGCTTTTTTGTTCATCAACGCGATATGTTATGCTCATGGTTAGATGAATCTGTTAAAAACTACAACTGTCACAAGCCATTTGAATTGCAAATTTGTTCATATACAGTACTTGTACATCATCAAGCAATCGTAATTACCTACTAAATGATGTAATGTGATATAACGTTGTGTAGAAAATCAAGGATGTGTCATTGAGAATAAAGGTATCTTTGATTCATGATATTAGTTCCAAATGTCATAGTGGCATTCAAAGTGTCAAGTGCATGTAAGAGACGTCTAAAGCTAGATTGGAAACATAGTGATATACAATGATTGAAATTATCTCTTTTGGCCCTAGGTTGGTTCTTTACTACAAACTTTTGGCTTTTGCTTTATATCTAAGTATACAAGGTTGCTTCTGGCTTTTGTTCCATGCATCTCAATATAACTTCCACTAACGGAACTCATTGTGGGTTCCGTTAACAGCTTCTTCGTAAAGCAAGCAAAGCACACGAAGGGAGAGTGCAAAATACAAAGCTCCCTTAACGCGAAGAAATTTCTTTTCCGGGCTGGCATTTACTTCTTTCCTTATTATCCCACTTCAGTATATTTTCTTTCGAGGATCAACTTCTTTTCATATTATCCCACTTCATTTTATTTCGTTTTCATGATGTCAATGATGAAGTGGCAGGAGGAAAGGGGCATGAGAAATTTCCCACGGACCACCATGCAGTTGCAGTGGAAATTTCCCGGCTGCCCGCACGGTAAGGGCTGCTGGGCCGGGCAGCCCAGGAAGCGGGCGGCGGCGTTAGAAAGGGCAGGCGAACACGGCAGAAGGGAACGAGGGCAAAAGAACAAACCGTGTACTGTAATGTGGCGACGGGAGGCGGTAGAAAGGACCGACTGGCAGCTGGCTGGCTGTACAGCGGTCCGGGCCGTAGCAGGTTGCGAGTGAATTCATGAGGACAGTTGACTCGAGCCTCATCGACTTCGCTCGGCTGAGCTGGCGACGCCGGGGCATGGCGATCCCTCTTACTTGTAGTGGTGGTAGAGGATGACGTGGCGGCATAACCAGGTCAGCGCTGCGGACCTCGCGTAAGCTTTTCGCCCTTCACTCGGTGACCAATAATGAGGTCGACTAATAAATTCATTCGGGACACAAGTATTACAGATATTATTCCGGCTCTGAATGATCGGAATGAGCAGCGCTAGTTCCTTCATGGGACTTGAGTTCCGCGAGCTGCTCAGAATTCGCCGGCCATGGCAAAAGCCAGCGCCTGGCAAAAAGTGAGGAACGGGGGGCCGATGGAGGATTGTAGGGAGGTCCGAGTGACTGACTGACCACCAGCTGCAGCGCCATTGGTCGCTTTGACGTCCATGAGTGCAGTAAAGGAGTCCCGGGCCAGAACAGACGCACGAGACAGGAGATGTCAGTGTAAAGGAGACGGGACCATCTTTGGAGGTCGCGGACTCTTGGAAGGGAAGGAAGGAGCACGATCCCGATCGATCGAGAGTGAAGGAGTGACTGCTTCAAGTGTCCGGCAATCCACGCAGCAGTGGGTGTCAGATATAGCGAGCCTGAGAGAGAGGAAGGGGAGGAGGAACCGTCGCTATATATGTGTCTCAGAGCACAGTCGCTGGCCATTGGCTAGCTCTGGGAATTTAGTGTGCATGAGGTAGAAGAGAACGACACGAGGTGGGAGTGCAAGAGGCTACGCCCCGTGAGAAGGAAACAAGTCGTGGAATTATCTCGACACTGACGGGTTGCATGCCTAGCCTTTTCATCCTTAAGTCTTAAATTCTTGCGGTCCCCACCGCCAGAATAATTCTAACGCTCCCCCGCTCGCCCGCTCTCTCTCTCTCGATCTCTTTCTCTCTCTCTCTTTCTAGTCCAGTTCGTCTCTCGGCGGAGGAGAGGGACAACAGCACATCATACAGACGCACACACTCAGCCTGCTTACATTGTCGACAGCACAGCTTCGGCTCTCAGCTGAGCCAAGCCAAGTTAAGAGAAGCCGAGCAAGAGCAAGAGCAGGGCAGGGCAGGGCAGAGCTGGGCAGGGGCAGAGCGGAGCCGAGCCGAGCCGAGCCAAAGGAAGGGAAGGCAAAGCGAAACGAGGCGAGGCAAGGCAAGGCTACATGCGTGAGAATATCAGATTGTGCACACAAGGGGAGTCGACGGGCAGAAGAGTGCTGTGCACACAATCATATGGCAGGAACGTAAGCCACATTTTTCCTCGCATGTCTCTTTCATCAAAAGTGGAACGTATCAGCTGGATGCTGGAGTGCACACCTGAACATCCGTGACCTCGGCCCCCGGTCGTCGTTGCATATAAAATACCTCGTACACAATCTCTGGAAACCACACCAGTGCGGTACAGTTTGGTTTCACTGCAGCCACTGGTCTACTCTGTTCTCCCGCTCGGGTCCGGTACGCTGATGGCAGCTGCGGTGAGCTCATCGTGTGTGCTCTAAAGTACCTCTGCTATACAGTACAATTTCAGAAGGTAGACGATCCTTCAAACACAATACTAGTCCTAGTTATCCTCCTCCCGCTTCATCTCTCTCTCGTTCCTCTCCTCTCCTCTCCTCTCCTCTCCTCTCCTCTCCTCTCCTCTCCTCTCCTCTCCATTCGTGTTATCGGAACGAGTCGCTAGCTATTGGGAGGTCTATACTAGGATTGGTAGTCAGTCACCTTTTGCTTTCGGTGCCGACGTGAATGCAGTCACAAGCAGCCAATTTCTTATAGATTCCCCGGACTCAGCTGCTGTTACTGCTACACATTGGCAAGCATCGGTTTCTGCCAGCGCCGGCACGAGCATCAAATTATTTCTCGAGTACGCAGTACGTAGTGAGGGGGTCTCGGGGGTGAGACAGCGCATTCGAGCTCGAGAGGATCGACCTGCAGCTCAACAGAGCGCAGGCAGGTGCTGAGGAGAGATGGCATCGTGGACGGAGCTCGAGCAGGCTCGGGGTGTTCGGAGATGGAGAGCGGCGGCCGGCATGTTGGCGCTCTTGCTGTGTGCTTCGGTGACGCAGGTGGCAGCGCAGGGAGGCAGCTGGGAGCTGCTGGTGGAGAATGCGGGAATTGCGTCCATGCACACCATGGTCACGCACTTCGGGACTGTGATTCTGCTGGACAGGACCAACATCGGGGCGTCGCAGATTGATCTGCCGGCGGGCGTGTGCAGGGACAACGAGCAGGACCAAATTCTCACTCACGATTGCACAGCGCACTCGGTGGAGTTCACTCCGGGCTCCAATGCCATCCGCCCGCTCTTCATTTTCACCGACACCTGGTGCTCGTCGGGCCAGTTCGGCCCCGATGGCACCATGACTCAGACGGGCGGCGACTCGGACGGGCTCATGAAGATCCGCAAGTTCGTCCCGTGCGGAGATGGCAGCTGCGATTGGACCGAGACCACCACGGAGCTGCAGAATGGCCGCTGGTACGCATCGAACCAGGTTCTGCCCGACGGGAGCCAGATCGTGGTCGGAGGAAGGTCGGTGTTCACGCTCGAGTTCGTGCCCAGCAAGGGCGAGGCTCGATACCTGCCGCTGCTCGAGGCGACCAAGGACGCTCAGGACGACAACTATTATCCATTCGTGCACTTGTTGCCATCGGGAAATTTGTTCATCTTCGCCAACAAGGACTCGATCATCTACGACTACAACACCGACGCCGTCGTCAGGACCATGCCCACTCTCGCCGGCACGCCTCGCAACTATCCGTCCGCGGGCAGCTCGGTGCTGCTGCCATTGACGGCCGCCGATGGCTACACCAAGGCCGAGGTGCTGGTGTGCGGAGGGGCGCAATTCGGGGCCTACCTGAGCGACCATTCTCTGCCGGCGAGCAACGACTGCGGGCGCATCGATGCGTCGGATCCGGCCTCGGACTGGGCCATCGAGGTCATGCCGTACGCGAGGACCATGGGCGACATGGTCATGCTGCCGAACCAGCACACTCTGATCATCAATGGCGCCCAGACGGGATCCCAGGGCTGGGGGCTGGCCGACAATCCCACCTTCAATCCGCTCGAATACAATCCCTTCGCTGCAGCCGGGGCGAGATTCGCCGTCATGAATCCCACCACCATCGCCCGAATGTACCACTCCACGGCCAATTTGCTCCCGGACGGCCGCGTTCTGGTGGCGGGAAGCAACACGCATCAGTACTACGATTTCACGGGGCCTTACCCGACCGAGCTGCGGCTGGAGGCCTTCAGCCCGCAGTATTTGAGTGCAGCCAATGCCCCGAACAAGCCGGCGATTACAGCTGCCCCTGGGAGCTTGGCGTACGGAGAATTGTTCACCGTGAGCGTGACCATCGCCAATCCGCCGGCTGGCAATGTGCAGCTCCTTCTGCTCAGCTCGCCATTCACGACGCATTCGTATTCCCAAGGACAGCGCCAGCTGAATCTGGACGTGGCGGCTCCCGTGGCTGCAGGAGGTGGGAGTTATACGATCTCTGCGACAGCGCCTCCCGGGGCCGCAGTGGCCCCACCGCAGTACTACATGCTGTTTGCGCTCAATGGTGCTGTCCCGAGCAGCGCTACGTGGGTCAGAATCGGCTGAATCGGTTGAATTGGATGAATTGATCGCTCGAGAGGAGGAGTCAAGCTTCATTGGCCCAATCCTCGATTCCATAAACGAGTGTTTAGATAGCGTGGCTCGAAACCAATCTCTGTCGGCATTCGATGAAGCATGATGTACATATGCAACCATTTAGTAAACAGTCGGTCAGTCAGTCGTTAGGTTACTGTCGTCATGACTATGGACCCATCAATCAATCAATGTGGAGGGCCAATTGAGACCGAAAAAAAATTTGGGAGATTTATGCTGTCCGCCCCCACCCCGCCACGATTCACGGAGTCGGAGCTGCGGACATTATACTGACATGACATTCAACAAGGTCACAACTATCGGCGGGTAGTGGGAATGGGGCCCAAACTCCCATCCTAGGTACACTATTACAGTCACGGGGGCGAAGAAATCTTGGCCATTATAACCAGATTCACACCCCGCTGAGACCCGAGTTTCCTTGAGATTGGAAGCATATAAATTATTGCATTTGGTGCCAGCGAAGTGTCCCAATTCAACGTAGAATATTACCATGTACACGTTTTCAGGATAATTTACCGAATCAAGAGTTTAGATCGAAGGCGCAGCTTTCACTCAACGCTGCAAAATTACTGCATTTGGTTCTAAATAAATGTAGCCGGGTTATTCAAAACATCACAGACGCCTGAATTAAAGCTTCCTGACACCCAGTTTAGCCGAATCTATCGCAAGGAAAGATAAGCGACTCTTAAGCAGTCGCGAATGTATCAAGATACGCACTCTTTGGGAACAAAGTAAGGGTCCAATTCGCGTTATTTCAAGAGCCTGCTTTTTCAGACGCCAGCACTCTCCAGTCTGGTATGCCATGCTTTCGATTCCACCTTTCAGCCTTTCTTGTCCCGTCAGGGTCTCGATGTTTGTGTTAAGAGTTAAATAACCATTATAGTACGCATCAAAGAGCTGTTCTCTGTACCTCGGACAAACGAGCCTATCAGCAACGTCAGTCTTCTGTCACGTTTAGAGGAGTTTTCGTACATTCTGCCCTCAACTGTCTACTTGCTTCAGAATGTGTAATTGGTTATAGAAAATGCTAGACTCTGGCAAACTGGCAGAAGTCTCGATGCTGAGAAACAAGCAAGCCTTCGTTTGTTGTTGGTAATATCGATTTTTAAACCTCCGATCTGAAAGAGGTCTTACTGTCCATCATAGTAAATAATCGTTCTTTGTACTCAATGATCGGGATACCTGAGAAAGGTTTCCAGAGTTTACCATCAGTTGTGTAGACACTAACACTAAAAGTCGCCATCGAATCAATGTCATGCTTTATTCCACTGAAAGTCTAGATTGTGACGTAGGGGAAGAGGCTTTATTCGTGGTAGTATTTGTGCGAATATGTGCAACTTCAAAGCCCGCTCTTTTTGCGCTAACTATTACACCTACCTATTTGAAATCGCTGAACATTCAACGTATGACCATCATTCAGTCTGATGAATTCGGTTCACAAGACAGTAAAGAATGGAAAGAGAAGAACTGTATATTGAGAGTTTGTCACACGATCACCTTATTCAACACAATTATAAGAATATAAAATTGTACTTTTAAAAAGGTGAGAAATATCTCGTTAAATCTCGGCTACACAAAAGAATACTCAAAGACCTGATAACGACCACACCCCAAGGCAAGGGATATACAAACTTTTGATTAGGGGGGATCTAAGTGAGTGCTGGAGTGAGTTGAGGTTGACAGCTTCAAGTGCTACCAGTGGTATTAACAGTCAACGTTTTTGGCATTGAAATGAGTCTGAGATCAACTGTCGGCTAGTTGAAGTTTCAGCAAAATGAGATATGGAGTATTTGGATAATTGTGGGTCCAGCTCGTTCTTGGCTCTGTGCAAGCTACTCTGTCTCGTACACGTACTACAAGTTTGTGGTTGTTCACTAGCTCGAGATGGATCTGAAAGCTTCGCCTCGAGTGTTGTGATCACGCCCGAGTCAGGTCCAGGAGGGTCTTAGGTGTGTAAGGCATTGCATATTCTAGTCCATACAAACCAAATCATTCGAGCTACCACAGCGTCGCATTTGCCATTGTACAGAGATTCTTTACTCAGGTGAAATAGTATTATAATTCGTCTCTCGTGACGATTGTGCAGGCTACTACAAATCGAAGGGTGTGGCACGCTGACCTACTTAGAAAGTGGAGAAAATGGCAAGAGGCCATAAGTGTATAAAAGTGAGATAGAAGTAGTGGGCTGCGAGAGGACAAACATGCAGTTTAGATGACAGGAGTTTGCCAGCGATGTTGACGGAGTGTTCAATCACGTAATATTTCTTCGCATAGTTGACTTCCCAGCAACTGCAACTCCGAGAGAAGCAATGTTCTCGCAGCTATAGGTCAAAATAGAGTTCCAAATCGGCACATGTTTGCTTCGACATCGGTGGCAAGATGCCAGTGCCCATAGGAATCTCCTCAATTTTATACAGAACAGATTTGAAAGTGGATTAGGTAGAGTCCCATCCTCCTCTCCCTCTCTCTTCATCGTTTCTCCGTTCCTCTATTCTCTCTCTCTCTCTCTCTCTCTCTCTCTCTCTTCATATATATATATATATATATATATATATATTCAAAGAACTTTTGACAGTATGACATCAAGCTCAGACCTAGCTGGGCTCGGCGGATTTGCTTTCATCACGTCAAAAGTCCCTGAGAATCAAGTCAATCCGGCTGGCAAGCAGGCAAGAGTCAAGTCCAAAGACCGCAAAAACGCTCGTAAAGTGGACCCCATTCATCAGTAATCATGACAGTTTGCCGATTAGATCAAGTCACACTGAGTCTCGCTCACTAGAGCAACCTACTCAGAGATCTCCAGTAACGATTAAACATCGCAGCCTGGGGAAGCTACAGCTTCTCCTCCCTCTCTCGCCATTCTGTTTTATGGATATTTGCTGGATGAACCCCTGAATCACTCAATATCCTCAACACTCCCTCTTGATCCTCTTTATGGTGCCGCCAGATTACGTAATCTTCAAGTTGAGACTAAAGAAGCGAGGGACAGCATTGGGAAGCAATTTATCGAAAAAAGATAGAAAAAACTCGACTCAAATAATCAGAAAGAAATGTGGCGGAACCGTGGGATTTGAAACGAAGCCTACGCTAAGGGAAGGGAATCGAAGGGTAAAGTGATGTTTAGTATTACACTACATCGCAACCGCTCCTACAATATCTTCTCCATAGAAACCAGACGAATCTAGTGGTAAGGATGGGGCGTTTCGAGAGATAGGATAGAACAGATAACTTTGTATAAAGGGTTCGCAAGGTTGCATGATATGCTCAAAATAGTTCCTAGCTAGTAACTTCCATAATATATATGCGTTGTTTACTTCTCACTGTGGTTTGCAATGTCGACCAGTTATTAATCAGTTATTTTCTATTTCTTTATTTCATTCTCTTCATGTAGTATCAAGGAATGTCTTTTTAGACGTATACTTTCTGCAATTCTTTTAAAAAAATTTATATCATAAGTCGTGAAAAGTATCAAATCTTGGAGAAGAGAATCAAATTAATATCATTTAAATAATTCGTTTGTTTTTTATATCTGTAAAAACACAATATTTACATGAATTGTAAAATAACTGTAGAATGAAATGAACCAGAATAAATAGCTTATAATCAGTTCAACCTTTTAACCTCAGATATTCTAACCTGAGTAACTTATTAATAGAGAATGTGTACATATTTTTACATCCTACTCGCATGAAGAGTTATAGAGTAGAGTTCATGGACTTTATATTCTAATGCTACGTAGATGCTCAAATTGCAACATATCAACCAACTACATTTCGCCATCGAATGTCAAAATATATTTCCAAAATTGATAAAAAATCATAAGAACTATACAAACTAAAAGACATCATTGGATGAAAAGAGTTTTATTAACACTCTTTCAAACACGCAATTACTTTAATTTTGATGTCTTATAATATTCTATCATCATCATAATGTCATTATCATTTAATATATGATATTATGAATTTTTTATCATTTTATTTATTTTAAGATTAAATTATGTTTGAAATATTTTTGTATGTATCAAATATGTGAATCAATTCTACCAAAAAATTTATATTACTAACGAATGATTTTTACTTACATCTTTGAAATTGATGATATATGATTTTAGCGAGAGCTATGCAGATACTTTACATCGTTGTCATTATAGCATGAGATTTATCATGTGTGACATATACTTCTTTGCTACTCACACATTCCAAGGAAACGACTTCACAAGTCCAACCTCTTAAATATGCGTCTACATCAAGAAAATAAATGGCAATGTATAGTGTCATTGGAGTCTCGGAGTTGGCACAGACTTTCTCCAATGTTGAGATCTCTTTCGATCTTAGAGAACTACTTTGACTCTCGTGATAAGAGTATTTGACTTATTTGAGGTATGACACCAGCATTTTCCACATTGAATATGTATGTTATATCTCGATAAATAAAAACGTTAATGGAGATGGACATAACAGTATCCAGGTAAACATTATGGTTTGGGGTGTCAAACTCTAACATGACAACTTCACGTAGTAAAGACTTTCTGGGTATGTTGTTAACGGAGGTAGTCGAACATGGCCTAGAATCTGTTGACCTTTGAAACTAAACAAGACATGAGTGATATCTATCACTGATAGATATCATTCAATACGCAAATACTTATCGTCAAGCTAATTCTATGGACATACCAATGTTACTTAAGCTGTAGTCAGATTTGAACTCTAAATGAAAAAGAATATCATGTTGGACCTTTTTGGTCAGTTGGAGTTGATGAGAGTTTGCCACGTGAACAACCTTTTATTCTTAATGTATACAGAGAATCATTAAATTATTTTTTAATTTAGTAAATAAATTTCATAAATGAATAATGATTGTTATCTATGCAAAAACAATGAATTGCCGATGCCGAAAGGAGTTTTGAATTAAAAGGGTGGGGCGAGAGAGGCTCGAACTCTCGACCTCCGGATTTCTCGGTGAGCTATGAGACCGACGCGCTAACCAACTGCGCCACCGCCCCCAGATGACAATCTTCTGTCTGTATATATTTTGGTTTAATTTAATAATTTTGATACCTTGTATGTCTAACTAAATGTACAATACTGTGATGTCGCTGGCAAAATTCCGTCTTTAACTTTCGGTTTATTTTTCTAGTACTTGCACGGGTTCTTCTCATATTTTTGAGTTAAAATTTGGTTCTCCCTGGAGAGTGCACTTCCATTCACTTACTTTCATCAGTGCAACACTCTGCAGATTTTTTTGCCATAAATTAGACCCATTGTCCCTGGCGCAGCAGAGTTGCAAGAGGATTCAGGGGACGATGGGGCTCAGAGGGAGGGCGACCAATGAGAGCAAGATTCGGAGTGTGGACGGTCTGGAAAGAAGTCGGGAAGGGTCGAGTCGACGCAGAGGAAGGTGGTGGAAGTGGAAGGACCTCGATGTGGACCCCGGCCACGCAGATGCCAAGCCGGTGAAGCTCGCTCTGCACGCGCTGCGGTTGTACTCTCGATCCCAGGCTAAGCCCTGAACCCTGCGGTTGGCGCCAGTCCAGTCCAATCCCATGGACCCCTCGCCAAATACCACATATGAATTTTGTTCATCATATGGTATAATAAATCTATAGACCGTATCTGCTATTGCATAAATATCATGCGTGCAATCCATAAGGATCTACCGAAGTAAGAAGACTTGTTCATATTTCGTGTATTTTGGGTACAAAAGTGTATATCTACTATTGTGATGGCATTGGGGACTACTCCCTATGCTGCACG